CGTCCCCTTTTGTCGTGGTTCACTCTGACATTTGGGGACCTAGCCGCGTTAAGTCTACTTTAGGTTTTCAATACTTTGTTACTTTCATTGATGATTATTCCAGATGCACTTGGTTATTTTTGATGAAAAATCGTTCTGAATTATTTCATATCTTTCAAACTTTTTCAATGAAATTCAAACTCAGTTCGGTGTTTCTATTAGAGTTTTGCGCAGTGATAATGGTTGTGAATATCTTTCTCATTCTTTTAAACAATTCATGGCTTCTCATGGTATTTTGCATCAAACTTCTTTTGCTTATACACCTCAACAAAATGGTGTAGCTGAACGTAAAAATAGACATCTTATTGAAACAACTCGCACTCTTTTAATTCATGGAGAGGTTCCTCAACATTTTTGGGGTGATGTTCTTCTTACTGCATGTTATCTTGTTAATCGCATGTCATCTTCGGTTCTAGATAATAAAATACCTCATTCCATTTTATTCCCTCATGAACCACTTCATCCCTTACCTCTAAAAGTTTTTGGGTCTACATGTTATGTTCATAATTTTAGTTCTAGTCTTGACAAGCTTTCTCCTAGATCACATAAATGTGTTTTCTTAGGGTTTACAAGATCACAAAAAGGATACAAATGTTTTTCTCCTTCTCTTAACCGTTATTTTGTGTCTGCAGATGTCACCTTTGATGAGTTCTCTTTTTATTTTAAAAGTCAATCTTCACCTCTGTCTCCATCCAATCTTGTCAACACTCCTAGTACATTTAATGTTCCCGTTGTTTGTGACCCTCTAACTGTGTCTTCTTCACCATTAGATTCTACTCACTTGATCAGCCTTCTTCTTCACTCGCCTCTTCGGGTTTATAGTTGCTGAAACCAATCACAACCACCACCATGTGACTCTACTCAAGTGTCAACTACTATGTCTCCTCCGGATGTGACACCTGAGTCTGACCTTCCCATTGCCCTCCGAAAAGGTTTCCGTTCTACACATAATCCCTCTCCTCATTATATTGGTTTGAGTTATCATCAACTGTCATTACCTTTTTATACATGTTTTTCCTCTCTTTCTTCTGTGACCATTCCAAAAACTGTCCGTGAAGCTTTAGCCCATCCTGGTTGGCGTCAGGCCATGTTAGATGAACTAAGTGCTCTTCATAATATAGGAACTTGGGAATTGGTCTCGTTACCGTCTGGGAAATCTGTTATTGGTTGCAGGTGGGTGTTTGTTATCAAAGTTGGACCTGATGGTACTATTGATCGCCTCAAAGCTCGTCTTGTGGCCAAAGGTTATACTCAAATTTTTGGGTTGGATTATGGAGATACCTTTTCCCCTGTGGCAAAGATGACTTCTGTTCGTTTATTTATCGCCATGGTCGCTCTTCAATAATGGCCTCTTTATCAACTAGATGTTAAAAATGCTTTCCTCAATGGTGATTTGCAAGAAGAAATCTATATGGAGCAACCTCCTGGGTTTTTTGCTCAGGGGGAGTCTTCTGGGATGGTATGTCGTCTTCGCAAATCCCTATATAGCCTAAAACAGTCTCCTAGGGCCTGGTTTGGAAAGTTTAGCAAGGTTGTTCAATAATTTGGTATGACTCGGTGTGAAGCAGATCACTCTATCTTTTATCGACACTCAAGTGCTAGATGTGTTTACTTGATAGTATATGTTGATGACATCGTTCTTACAGGTAGTGACAACCATGACATCTCTCAGTTGAAACAACATCTCTGTCACCATTTTCAGACCAAAGATCTTGGCAAACTTAGATATTTCTTGGGTATTGAGGTGACACAGTCCAATGATGGTATTGTTATATCTCAAAGGAAGTATGCCATGGATATTTTAGAGGAAACTGGGTTGATGAATTCAAAGTCTGTTGATACGCCCATGGATCCCAATACTAAACTTTTACCAAATCAGGGGGAGCTTATACCTGATCCTGAAGCAGTATAGAAGATTGGTTGGAAAATTGAATTATCTTACAGTTACTCGTCCTGACATTTCCTTTGCAGTCAGTGTGGTAAGCCAATTTCTTAATTCCCCATGTGAAGATCATTGGAATGCAGTCATTCGTATCTTAAAGTATATTAAAGGATCTCCTGGAAAAGGATTGTTATATGATTCTAATAACCATACAAGAGTTGTTTGTTACTCAGATGCTGATTGGGTAGGATCTCCTTCGGATAGAAGATCTACATCTGGATATTGTGTCTCCATTGGTGGTAACTTGGTCTCATGGAAAAGTAAGAAACAAAGTGTTGTGGTAAGATCTAGTGCGAAGCGAGAATATAGAGCTATGACCTCGACTGCTTGTGAACTTGTTTGGCTCAAGCAATTGCTTAGAGAGTTACAATTTGGAGATGTCACTCAAATGTCACTTGTGTGTGACAATCAGATCGCTTCTTCATATTAGTTCTAATCCTCGTCTTTTATGAGAGGACCAAACACATTGAGATCGACTGTCATTTCATTCGAAAAAGATTATATCCGGAGACATCAAGACTGAGTTTGTTAACTCAAGTGATCAGTTAGCGAGATATTTTTACTAAATCTTTATGGGGTCCTAGAATTGATTATATTTGTAACAAACTTGGCACATACGATTTGTATGCTCCGACTTGAGGGGAGTGTTAGATATTGTTTAGATATTATTTAATATTGTTAAGATATTGTTAGATATTAACCATAATATCAAACAATATCTTCTGTTTATTCTCGTTACTTTCGATTCATTCTTTTAGTTGTATCTCTCTACTATAAATAGACTACCTATGTGTGATTTATATACAAGGGAGATTAATCCTAAACTCTATTTCTTCTATATTCAACGAGATATCTTTAATTATTATTTTTTTCAATTTAACTCAACTCTTCAGTCGATTATTGAGTAAGACAATTTTGAAAGTACGACAAATTATACTTAATATATTTAGTAAAATGATTTTAAATAAATTTAAAAAGATGGGAAACATGTGGAAGATAAGTGTAAGGAATTCCAAATAAACTTGTAGTTTGAAAGGATGGAAGACATTTGAAAGAAAAACGAGAGGAAAATATTAATTTTTTTCTTATTTAATTTGTGAGGAAAGAAAAAAATTGTAATTTTGATTTTTAAAATTTTCAATATATGGTTTTTATTTTATTTTTTCCCAATTTTCGTTTGTTTATTTTGAAAGCAAATTATAATCTTGAATCATTCCTCATTTTTATATATGCTTTATTTCTTTTAATGTTAGTTTATTTAGTTAAATAATAATTAATAAATAATTTTATTAATTAAACTATTTTACAGAATAAACATATTATAATTGAAGAAGATTAAATTAAAACTATGAATATTCGAAAATTTGAAAACTAGTATCTAAAAAGAACGAGAATAAAGTTGTAAATTTTCTAAAGACTAATATCTCACTTTTTTATTTAAAGATTTGTGTCATTTTACGTATATTTGTTCAAATGAGTTATTTAGTCATTAAATATGTTATTTGGCAATTTAGTTTTAAAAACAAAACAAATATAATTTATTTTTTGAATGTCTAAATTATAAATGTTGGTCTCTGGAGTTTATATTTTAATATTTAGTCTTCAAAATTTACAATTTAATTTTAAATTAATTCTTAAAATTATAATTTGATAATAACATAACATAAAAAGTAATTATCACACTTTTGATATATTCAAGTACTAAACCAAAATTTCAATTTAAAAAAAAAACTAAATTATCATACTTTCTTATTTTTAGAGATTAAATTGGTTTTTTCACTTACTACATGATGAGAGAACCCAAAAATTTGGGATGACAAAGCGGTCGAGCCCGCCATAATATGGCGGGACGGGTTGGTGTTTTCAGCCCACGATCACTTTGGCCCGCTAACCTGCTCGGCCAACCCATGGAGACAGGGTGGCGACTCATGGCCCGCCTAATTAATAAAAAAATTATTTTTTATTATAATAAAATTAATTATAAAGATAAGATATAAAGTTAAAAATGTTAAAAAGATAATTAAAAAAATTTCACTCTCACAAAAATATATTCTTCTTACTTGAAACATAACCTTCTCTTTCTTGTTCTCCTTGTTCGTCCTAAACACTCGATTATTTTTATCTTTATGACTTGAATTAAAGGTGTAAGAATTACTTAACCAAGAATAATGTGAAGTTTTATCAAATAAATAAATATAGGTATTTGAATTTTTCAATATAAAAATATAAATTTTATAAGTTTTAATGTTATATATATATATATATTTGTTATTATTTATTATCATGTAAATTTATTTTATTATTGTTCTAAATTATATTTTCTTAAAATTATGTATTGATTTATATTATTAAATTGAAATAATATATATATATATATATATATATATATATTGAATTATTGATAAACAAATAATAATCTTATTATTAAATTTATTTAAAAAAATTATTTTAAAAAATAAATTATTTTTTCTAAATTATATGCGGTCACCTGCAAATTCCGTCAACCGTCCTTGACGGGGCAAACCAAGATCTACAACCCATCACCCGCCCCACCCCACTTTTAACGGCCAAAGACGAGGTGGGCCCAACGATCCCTACCAAAAATATCATATTCCTTTCTTTCTTTTTTTCATTTTTCCTTTGACGTATTTTCCTACATATTTCCTTCCAAAACCAAGCATAAAATTAGCAAGGTCGAAGAAAGAGAGAGCAAAGTCTCAAGTAGCTTCGTCAGACTTGCCTTGCATTGATTGGTGAATGATATTTTGGGACCCCACTTCCAACACCACCGTAGACTTCATCACTTTGGTTTTTCTCTTGTATTCCCCTTTCCTTAGAAACCAATAAAGCAAGAACAAAACTTCCTAATCTGCAAAGTCTTCGTCAATTTAGTAATTTAAACCCATGTAATCTCCTTCACTATATAATTCGAAGTTGCGGCAGTTTTGAAACACAAAGCAAGAAAACAATCAAGAAAGGAAATTTCTGAAACTGCAGGGTCTTGTAGAAGAGGGACAATATGGCTGGAGGGTCGCTTGGAGACAACTTGGGATTGAAGGAAGATGTCATCAAAAGGGTGTGTGGTTTGGCCTTCAAAGCTCACAACCACAAGTCACCAGATAAGCTCTACTTTTATGAAAAGATTCAAATTTCGTCGGGAACTTATAATGTTTTCAGCTTCTCGGGATCTTGGGATGCCACTGAATGGTTTGTTAATAAACCCTTTGGGGGAACCAAGATAGATCTTACCCTATTCCCTTCACTCAGAAGTATTGGTAACGATGAAGCTGCTTTGGTGAACGAAGGCTTCGCAAAGAGATTATATCACATATTCAAAACTACCTCGTTTAGATCCGAGGTATGCAACTAACTGTCAACTGACAACCTTGTTAGCATGTTTGTTCGATGATGTTGTTTGTTATTTTCTCTGGATTAATTCCACGCGTTGCAATTATTTGTAGTTTTGAAATCACCGTGGTTATATATTTAGAAAGTTCAGTTTTTTCAGTTACAGTGATGCTTTCTATTTTTGGTTAATTACGCTGAGATAAGCAAATAAACTATCAAAATGTGTAGGTGAATAAGGCTATAGGAGATGGGAAGCAAGTAGTGTTCACGGGACACTCCTCTGGTGCTGCTATGGCCATTTTTGCAACATTTTGGACCTTGGAAGAGTACCTTAACCCAACCAAAACTCAGAAACCGAAGCCACCCTTCTGTGTTACTTTTGGGTCTCCCTTAATTGGCAATCATATATTCTCTCACGCTTCAAGGAGAGAAAATTGGTCTCGCTATTTCATACACTTTGTTCTGAGATATGACATAGTGCCACGGATTTTGCTTGCTCCCTTTTCTTCTATTGAGCAAACTTTTGGTTCTATTCTCCAATCCTTAAATCCCAAGTCAAAAACTTCCACCCAAGATTCAACACGGGCTGAATTTTTCTCAACTGTGATGAGAAACACAGCCAGTATTACAAGCCATGCTGCATGCATTCTAATGGGTAGCACAAATTTGTTACTTGAGACCGTGGCGAATTTTGTTGACTTGAGCCCTTATAGACCTTTTGGAACATATATCTTCTGCAATGGAAATGGACAACTGATTGTGGTGAAAAACTCTGATGCTGTTTTGCAACTATTATTCCACACTTCTCTAATAAGCGATTTGGCAGAAGTTCCAGAAGTTGCCAATGTTAGCATATTGCAACACCTGTCCTATGAGGCTGAGTTGGAGGATAGCTTGCAAATGCAGAATGTAGTGTACTTGGAACAACTTGAGGATCTTCCCTTGTCTGCTGATGGTTCTAATGGTGATGTTGCAACAATTAGCGCAGCCTTAGATGGCCTTGGACTGGTAATAATTTTTTGTTCTATTATATATGTTTATATATAATCAAATCATACCAGGTGGGTCATATAAATTATTGAAGTGGATCTATTTCATACAAATAACATGATTAAAAGAAATTAAAAGTGTTTCAAAAATTGAAGTTTCGTTTAATCCTACAGTACATATTATTATGTAGTTCAAGTATAAGATTGGACAGTAAGATTTAAGTAAGAAGTGATGATTTATTGGCTTACTTTTCAGAGCACAAAAGCAAGGCTATGTCTACGAGCAGCAGGTGAGTTGGAAAAGCAGAAACGTAAAAACGAGGAGAAAATCAGCAAGGAGATTGAGAAGAAAGCGGTGGCAAGCATGAAGGAACTTGAGAACTACAAAACAGCATGCGAGGTGCACAAGGGGAAGGGGTATTACGATGCCTTCAAGGTGCAGAAGGAGGGAAACGACTTTCAAGCAAATGTGAAGAGGCTAGAGCTGGCAGGGGTATGGGATGAGGTGATTGAGATGCTAAAGAGGTATGAACTCCCAGATGAATTTGAAGGGAAGTTAGAATGGATTCAACGTGGAACCATCTACCGTCGCCTTGTGGAGCCTCTAGACATAGCCAACTATTATCGCCATTTGAAGAATGAGGACACAGGACCTTACATGATCAGGGCCAGGCCAAAACGGTATAGATACACTCAGAGATGGTTGGAGCATGCCAAGAGGGAGCCAAAACCTGTTCCTATCACTGAATCCACCTTCTGGGCTGAAGTGGAAGAGCTTCATAGCTGGATCAGTAGCAAGAAGGCTTTTGATGAAGTCAGGGATAGAGTTGTGCAACTTGAACATGACCTTAAAAAGTGGACTGATGAAAGGGAGCTAACCAAGGATACCTTCTTAAAGGATCCTAACTTCATTAAGTGGTGGGAAATTCTACCTCATGAACACAGGGCCACTTCCTGCATAGCTGCTCTTGTTGCTAATGCGAAAGGATAGTGAATTAGTGATCTTTTATCCACTCAAAATGACTAGATTTAGGATGCTTTCGATGTGTATTGCCATGCAGTTGTGTTAGCTAGTTCAGTGTTGTAACTTCCTATTCCTGTTGTTTCTTTATGATTCCCAAGTTGTCTGACTTGTGAGAACCACAAATCAAACTGATTAACTAAATAAATTTGTTACATAGTAACATCTGTTTGGGATAATATTACTTAAATTTGATTATAATTTGTTTAGAGCGTTTCAAGTAAAGTCATTTATGGGGTTTTAAAGTTAAGTAGTAATTTAAAAATACCATTAAGACAAATAAGTTTTCATAGAACTTGTTTATGTGCTATCAATGTTGCTTAGTGCAAAAAGTTATTGTATAAAGGGAAAGATAATAATTAGAGTATACTAAAATTAAGTTAAAAATCTTTCTATATTTTGTAAGAATAAACAATAATAAGTGTGTTGAACATACAAGAACTTGATGTTAAACTTACATGGACATGAAGTTTGTTGATTTTGATGATGATTCAAGAACAAAGAACTTAGAGTGTTGAAAACTTGTATTGTTGTGTAATAACTCTGTTTTGATGAGTTTGAGTCTGTAATATTAGAGTCTAAGATAGCCGGTACATAGTCTACTCTTTAGAAGCTTCAAAAACTCACATTTATCAGTTAGCCTCGGGTTTAATCGATTAAATCATCAGATAATCAATTATTACAGTGAGAAAAACCATTTTTTGTAACTGTTCACTGTAATAATCGATTAACACACCTTTTAATCGATTAACAGGCCTGTTAATCGATTAACAGGGCTTTTAATCGATTAAAACAGAGAGTTTTGGGGTTCTGTTGATTTTGGCTCTGTAATAATCGATTAACACTTCATTTAATCGATTATTTCAGTCAGATTTTGATTTTCAACTTCAAATTAAACCTATTTTCGAAAACCCTAATCCCAATACTCCTAGTTCCGAAAATCCCAAATTCCCAAACCCTAATTCATCTACTTAAGGTTCTCTATGGCTCTCAGAAAAATTGAACAACCTTTTTCAAACAAAAGTTAAGTGTTGTGAGAGTCAGAGAACTATTTGTTGGAGGAAAAAGGGGCTTTTGGAACCTGGTGTGGGCTAGAAGCGATAAGAATCACTAAGTGGAGTTCTTAGTGGATTGTGTGTTGTGCCGTCTCTAGGGAAATTTGTTATTCATCTCTTGTGGATTTCAAGAGAGGTGTTTTCTTTACTTTATCTGTTCAATTGTTATCTGTTTGTAACAACTTTGATTATAGTGACAGTGTTAATCCTCTGTATGAGTGATTAGCAACTGGACGTAGGGTCTTTTGATCCGAACCAGTATAAATCTCCTGTGTAAGACTCTATCTCTATTCTATTTACGTTTACATAGTATTTTAATCGATAAAATTTGGGGAAAATTTTTAAAACCTAATTTTTGTTAAGAAACCAATTCACTCCCCCCTCTTAGTTTTTGTCCGACAACGCGATCATTCCGCTACGCGATTCTAACAAGTGGTATCAGAGCTTTCTTTGATAGTCATTTAAACTTTTCAAAAATGGTCGGACAAAATCAAACTTTTGCCGAAGGTGCGTCTATCAACAGACCCTCACTTTTTGCGGGTCAAAATTATCCTTTCTGGAAAGTAAGAATGCAAATCTTTTTAGAGTTTGTTGATAGAGGTGTTTGGGACGCTATTTTAAACGATCCCTATATTCCTAAAGTTACTGAGAACGGTGTAGACGTTCCTAAACCTTTTTCTAGATGGACAACAGAGGAAAATAGAAAAATACAATTTGACGTTAGGGCTAGAAATATTATTTCATCTGCTTTAACCCTTGACGAGTTTTACAGGATCTCTGTTTATAAAAGTGTTCAGGAGATGTGAGAAATGCTAAGAGTGACCCACGAAGGTACCAATGACGTTAAGAGAGCACGAAAAAATTCCCTAATTCAAGAATACGAGATGTTCCGGATGCAACAAGGCGAAACGATATTTGACGTTCAAAAGTGTTTTACTCATATTGTGAACCATCTCACCGGATTAGGTAAAATCTTTGACGTTGATGAATTGAATGTTAAAATCTTAAAATCTTTGGATAGGAAATGACAACCTAAGGTGACGGTCATCTCGGAGTCACAAAACCTTGCCACAATGTCTATAGCGGCGCTCTTTGGAAAGCTAAGAGAGCATGAGCTTGAGCTTGGAAGGCTAAATGAAGAAGAAGGACAATATCAAAAGAAGAACTTAGCCTTCAAAACCGAAATTTCCAAAGGTAAAAATAAAAAGGAAGAAGAAGACTCGGAGAATAAAGAAGAAGAATTGAGTCTTATGATAAAGAAGTTCACCAAATTCATGAAAGCCAAAGGAAGGCATCCATTCAAAGGTAAGGGAAAGGTAAGAGAAAGTACTTCCGTAAATATAAAATGTTATGGTTGTGGTGAAGCATGACATATGAAGACCGAATGTCCAAACAAGAAAAACGAAGAAATCAAAGGCAAAAAGTTCTTCAAGAACAAAGCCTACATAACTTGGGACAACAGTGATTCAAGTTCGGAATCAAGTGATTCGGAAGTTGAAGCCAATATTTGCTTAATGACAAATGACAACATATCTTCCGATTTTGAGGTAAGTGATTCCGACTCATCTTCTAGTGATGATGAAAATAACCTTGATGAACTACAAAATGCATATAATGAATTGTTTAGTGTCTTTAAGTACTTGAAAAATGAATATAAAGTTGTGAAGAAGAGTTTAAGTAGATTCGAAAAGGAGATTGACTCATTAAAAACGAAAATCACATGCTTAGAGAAAGAAACCTTAGAAACGAAAATTGTATGTTTAGATGAGAATGATGATAAGAACTTAGCATGTGCATCTTGTAAAGAATATGAATATGACATAGATATACTTAACCATTTGCTAGATAAAGCCGAAAAGGAGATAAGTGATTTTAAGAAGGATAAAATTGTTTTAGCTCAAAATAGTGTAAATCATCAAGCTCCTTTGAAAAAGCCTAAAAAGAAAAACAAAAGAGTATGGGTAGAAAAAGGAACTAGAGCATCTATTGTTAGAAATGCATCTTATTTTAAAGCTACATCTAATACATGTTTTTACTGTATGAAACAAGATCACACTTCAAATAAATGTAAAATAAAACATTTTGGTGTTTCTAAAGGTAAATATATTTGGGTTCCTATTGTTAAATAATTTGTTTGTCTCTAACCCCAAGGACCCAAAAGTTATGGGGACCTAAGTTTACTATGTTCTTGTTTTGTAGGAAACTCCCAAATCAAAGAAGTCTATGTGGTATCTTGATAGTGGATGCTCAAAGCATATGACCGGTGATAAAACGAAATTTGTGAGTTTCAAAGCTAAAGAACAAGGATATGTAACTTATTGGGACAACAACAAAGGGAAAATTCTTGGAATTGGAAATATAGATGGTGCAAACACTTTGGAGATTAAGGATGTGCTTCTTGTTGATGGACTAAAGCATAATCTCCTTAGTATAAGTCAACTATGTGACAAAGGATTTAAGGTAATATTTGAAAGTAAATTTTGCACTATACATTTGATAGATTCCGAAAATGTAACATTAAAGGGCATTATGCATAATAATATATACTTGATTGATTTGGATTGTTTACATGATTCTAGTATAACATGTTTAGTTGCTAAGGAAGAGAACCCTTGGTTATGGCATAAGAGAGCAGCTCATATAAATATGCATCATTTGAATAAATTGATATCAAAAGACTTAGTTGTTGGCTTGCCTAAGTTAAAGTTTGAAAAAGATAGGTTATTTGATGCATGTCAAAAAGGTAAACAAGTAAAATTATCATTTTAATCAAAGAATGTTATTTCCACTTCAAAACCTCTAGAATTATTACATTTAGACTTATTTGGTCCTTCTAGGATAAAAAGCTTTGGTGAAAATTATTATGGTCTTGTGATTGTTGATGATTATTCTAGATATACTTGGACATTTTTCCTAACAATAAAAAGTGAAGATTTTAATGTCTTTAGAAAGTTTGCAGAACAAATACAAAATGAGAAAGACTTAAGAATTAAAATTTTAAGAAGTGACCATGGTGGTGAGTTTCAAAATGAAAAGTTTGAAAATTATTGTGAAGAAAATGGAATATTGCATAACTTTTCTGCTCTTAGGACTCCCCAACAAAATGGTGTAGTTGAAAGGAAAAATAGGTCACTAGAGAAACTTGCTAGAACTATGTTAAATGAATCAAATGTTCCTAAATATTTTTGGACTGATGCGGTTAGTATTGCTTGTTATGTTTTAAATATAATGCTCATTAGGTCAATTATAAAATCAACTCCCTATGAATTGTTAAATGGTAGAAAGCCTAATGTTGCTCATTTGAAAATATTCGGATGTAAGTGTTTTGTGTTAAATAATAGAAAGGACAACTTAGGAAAATTTGACTCAAAAGTTGATGAGGACATTTTTCTAGGTTATTCATTAACTAGCAAAGCTTATAAGGTGTTTAATAGAAGAACCTTAAATATTGAAGAATCTATTCATGTTACTTTTGATGAAATTGTAGACCTTGGGGGAAATCCTCTTGAGTCAAATAAAGAACTTGCAGGTGATGATGAGTGTATAAGAGAGGTTCTTGATGAATTGTATTTAGAAGAAAATGAGCCTTCTCAAACACCTGAATTAGCAAAAGAATGGCAATCACCAAGAGGACTCTCAATGGACAATATCATTGGTGATATCTCAAAAGGGGTAAGAACTATAAATATGACCAATTTCTGCATGTCTGTAGCTTTTGTGTCACAGATAGAACCCAAAAATGTTGAGGAAGCACTTAAAGATGACCAATGGTGCATAGCTATGCAAGAGGATCTTAACCAATTTGAAAGGAATCAAGTCTGGGAATTAATCCCAAGAGAAGAATCACATCAAGTAATTGGAACCAAATGGGTATTTAGAAATAAACTTGATGAAGATGGAAACATAACAAAGAAT